GGCCCTGTAGCGGCGATCCTCCGCTCCTTCCCGCACCGAACAACTCCCCAACAGCCTTCCGCACCGAAGCCTTCTGCACCGCGAAGCTCTCTGTCGCGATCCTTCTGTTCGCGAACCCTCGCAATCTGCTTGTTCGCCGACCGGAAAGGAGGCAAACAATCTTCCGTGCCTCCTGATCTTCTCACAAGCTGCAATTCTCCAAACACCTGGAATTCTTGAAATCTAGCTGCCAATTTTTTTTCAAATCTTCTTTCTTTCTGCGCCGCTGAAAATTTTCTTCCCCTCGAACCTGACTCTGATACCACTTATTGAGAAATTAGGGCGAAGAGAAATAAGAACGACACAAATCCAGAAGAACACAGAGATTTAACGAGGTTCGACAAAGATGTCTACATCCTCGGGAGCAGAGCGGCGACCTCCTTTTCAATATTAAAAAAAAGTACAGAATACAAGATTCAGCTCTCTCAAAGACCTAGAATTACAAGCAAGTCTATTTATAATCCTAGAGTAAACCCTACAGTACAATATGTAATTATCAAATTACCCTTGTACGGTATAGCGGGGGGTTGACCCAGCACCCTCAACCCACATAACGTAACTTCCCGATTTGGATAAATTCTTCTACTTCGCTCCACTCTGCTCCGCTTCGTTCCAGCATCTGTCCCTATATGGTATATGAGTCATACCATATGAAATGGTATCAGAGCGACAGCAACGATACGACTTGTTGAGAAAATTACAGGCATAGTCGTATCGTCCAGAAGAACACAGAGTTGTGTCTTCGAATAAGGTTTTTCTCTGTTTATAGGTCAAATACATATTTGCGCCAAGAATAGCAAATGCCTCGAGATGATCGAACAACTTCCATGCTTAAGAAGTACTAGATTGGCCCCAAGTTCTTCATTTCAAATGAAGTAGCAAGAATACTTTTCAGAGACCCCAATGCCTGTAGATCATCCCTTATAAGCATAATATCGTCGACGTAGATGATAAGGATATCAATTTTGCCACCAGAGAAATGTCTAAATAAGAGGATCTAATTGGATCTAAGAAAAACCATGACCAATTATCACCTTTGTGAACTTATCGAACCAGGTCTATGGGGATTGCTTCAATTTGTTGAGGGACTTTCTCAGTCGACACACTTGTCTCCAATGAACAGTCAAAGAAAAGTCAAAGCCTGGAGAGAGGCACATGCACACCTCTTTTGTGAGATCCCCATTTAGGAAAATATTTTTGACATCCAGTTAGAGCAAAAGGCCAATCCAAATTTACAACAAGGGAAAGTAGGACCTGAGTGGTGTTTAATTTAGTAACTGGAGCAAATGTTTCATCATAGTCAATTTTGTATGTTTATGAATAGCCTTTGGCCACTAATCATGTC